TTCGGGGGAGGGGGGTACTGTGTTGTAGTGGTCTCTTTCGTACATGAATGGATGGCTTCAAAAGATGGTACTTGTCAGGGATATGTTTTGGTTCCCATGTTTTTTCACAAGTAATCAACATCATTATGTGGGGGCAGCTGGAGTTCTGAAGTGTATTGTCATCATGTCACTGAGATGGCTTTATTTCTTTCCATCATGATCAAATCAGACTGTGCATGTGTTAGACTGGTGCCTGGCTAGATGAGGATTATTAAACCTAAACTTAGTCCAGACAGTATTGAGATGCTCTTAGTGGGTGGTTTCCCAGATGGAGGGTGTTTGTTCCCAATTGGATTACTGTTCTCCTACAAGGCTTGGGAGTTCTCTTGGAGTTATCATTGTTACTTCAGGGTCAAGGTGGCCATAGTGGCATGGAGTACATTCTGTCAGCTTCTGGTGGTGGTCCACTATGCCTCCATCTGGACAATAATAACTTGGCTTCTGTATTTTATGCTATGGTCTTTTCCAAGTTAGAGAACTGCAGTGTGCTTTATGAGGGACTGCCCTTGAAGACAATTGGAAAGCTATAGCCTGTGCAAAATTTGGCCATCAAATTGATGCCAGGACCAGAAGCTCTGAGCATATAATATTGATTCTGACTTGCTTGGACTGACTATGTGTTTTCAAATCCATTTGAGGGTTCCTGTCTTGGTCTATAAAGCCTTGCATAGTTCAGGACTGCAATACTGAATGGAGCACCTGTATTAGCCTACCTGTACACTATGATCAGCACTTGAGTCCCTCCTTCGTAGTTCAAAGAATGGCAGCAATTGAGGTGGCCTTCTCACTGCTTGTCCCCAATCAAGAAATGCCTACATTCAGAACCACCTGATGCCAGTGCTGTTATATTTTCTGTACCAGTTTATGACTTTGCTTCCAGGCATTTGATGGCATATAATGGGGCTTTTTGATGTGAGTTTTTTTTTTATTATGTCCTGGTATTTCATTCCTATTGGTTCAGTAGTTTCAAATAGCTTTAAATGTCTGCATGTTAAAATACTTCTATTATGTTTTATTATGCTGTGTGTTAGGGTTCTGTTATTTGTAAACCATCTTGAGAGCTTTGGTTATTAGTTGGTATAGAAATGGAATAAATGAATGAAACAAATGTAATTGATAGTCATTCATGTCTAATGGGTAATGAGATATTGAATGCAGATTTGGAATGGATGTAAATGCCATGGTTTCCTTTTCCCTTCTGCATTGGGAACAGTTCTACCCCACCAATTTCAAACTGTTTTCTTCCAGATGTTTTGGATGACAACTCCCAGCATTCCTAGCTATTGGCCGTGCTAGCTGGAACTGATGGGAATTGATGTCCAGACACCTGAAGGGTACTAGATTGGGGAAGGCTGCTCTAGTTTGTGAAATCTTATGGCACAAATTTTTGGTCTTGTATATTGGTATGGGTTTTGAATAATTTCCCAGTTTGAGGTCTGAGACTGTGCTCCAGCTTCAGAGTGGGGAAATCAAAGAATTGACTCCACCACCTCCCCAGCATGGAAAGAGCAATGCTGGCTACTTCTCTGAGACTGGGAAGTCAACTTTTAAATGGGGAGAAAGGGGTGTTTCTGTGGGTGAGAAGGAGCTATCTTTAGTCCTTTCCTGCTGCATTCCCTTCCCCTACAAAGACCTTTGTTAGATGGACTAAAAACCCTGCCTAGCAAAGCATGATAGTGGGAAATTGCCTCTGTCACTCCCACTATATCACAAGGGTTGATCATAAGCTGCTGATCTCTGGGGCTTATCATTAGAGGGCACAAGCTGTAGTATTGAACCTTTAATTATGAATCACTGGTCTGATAATTCTAAGTTCCTGAAAGGTGAACATAAATATATTACATCAGTTTTAAGAGCTTATATGTGTAGGCTTTTTGTGTTATATTCAGATTTTATGTTTAGCCAGGTTATTTTTAATGGATATCTCTGAACAAGGCCCAGTTCAGAGCTCAGTCCAATTGAAATGATTGTCATACTTTAATTTTGTAGGAACTATAGGGGCTATAAGATTGTTCAAAATAACTAAACATTTATTTCTTTGTCCCCTTTTTATCTGTTCCTTTCTCATAGTGATATTTATGTGTTTTAACTATTGCAGTGTTTTGATTAAAAAGCCGTCTGAACATTTAAAAAAGAAATCCAAATATCTGTTTTAATATAAAACTTATATTTTTTTCTAAACAATTAAATATGATTTAGTCTTTGTAATGGCTTAGCTAGCATAGTGACCCCCTTAACAGCTTTATTTACAAACACTTAGATTGTGCCTGTAGGATACATTCCATTGAAGGTTGGCAAGCATGCCTGGTGATGGGCCAGTTGTTTCAGGCTGCTTTTGTTGTATTTATTCTACACTGAAAGTAGAGAAAGATTTTTTTGTAGTTGTGGATAAAAACTTTCCATATTGTATTGTTTTTAGATTATGTTTATGGTATTTATTTTTGTTTGTACTGAGCTGCTTATAGTTTATTGCTTACAGGGTTTTTGTCAGTTATGAATTCTATTATCGTGTAAACTACTTTGAGAAAGCTTTTTGCAGTGAGTAGTGATGCATAAATTTCATAATAATAACAACAATTCTAAAATAGTTATTTGCCATGTGTTTTGTGTTTTCTTTTAATAAGTTGCTGCTTTATTTCTAATGGCGCAGGTTTTGAAATGTTTGCATTACTGTCTTGGTTTAAGTTAATCTGCCATGTAAGAGCTATGTCCTAAAAATAGCAGCTTATAAAAAAGCATATAAGAGAGGGATCCTGTGCCCCCTAGACACCATCTGGGGTCCATATGATACTTCAGATACCCAAATCTGAGGTTAGAAACAGAGCTTTGACCTCAGAGCTGGGAATTGATGCTCCAGTCACTCTTTCCTCCCTTGCAGCTGGTGCAATCCATAGGATCATGCTCTAAATACATTTGGAATGTTGGGGAGAGACTCCCAGAAAATGTTGCTTCAGTAGCTTATACATTTCAGTTACTTATGTGAATTGTTGCCAACTGTTGCCAGTTGTTGAGTTGTTTCTGGCTGAGATCCAGAAAAGTGTGTGTGTGTGTGTGTGTGTGTGTGTGTGTGTGTGTGTGCTGTTTTTCCCCCCATGGCAGTCACATGAAATACAGCTCTGGGGAGTTCCCTCTAATCTCTGGGGAATGGTCCTTAGTAAGCATCAGAAAAATTCCCACATACATCTGAAATTCCACACATGGTGCTTTTGATCCCAGCTCTTAAGGGAAGCCCTTGGAAAAACTTTTATTGAAAAAATGAACAAAATATATTGATTGCTCTTTGAAATCACTGTCTAGATCAAAGTTTGGCAACTTGGTCCCACTCAAGTATTTTGGACTATGTTGAACTATGCAGCGCAATCCTGTGGTCATAGGATTTTTTTGGGAGAGCCAAAATGGTCTGACAGTGGAGATGGGATTCCATGCTTAGGTTATCTTCGATATCCAAAATGGAAAGGATGGTACTGGTTGCTTCTTTAAAGTTGCAAAACGATCTCAGAGAAGGGTTTAGCGGGCAGGGATAGGAGAGCAGTGCTGTCAAGGCACAATGTATCCTGGTAGCACCTCAGCCTCCTTCCCTGCCTCTCCAAAATGTCATGGTTGGAAAGCCACAATCAATTTTCTAGCTATTTTTCTGAGCAGGTGTAGTACAGCAGCAATTTCTGTCCCACAGTCCTGCCCTGTATAGGATACTCTTTATCTTTTGGGTTCAGAGAATTACAGACATCCCCATAGGGATGTGCCTTTACTGTATTTTTAATCTGACCAATATCTAAACTTCTCTGGGCAGTGTACAATGCATTAAAAACAAAAAATGCAAAATTAAAACAAGGAATAAATCCAATATAGAATAAAAACAAGATAAAACTAGCAGCAAAAAAAATTATTACAATATATAAAACCAAATTTAAAAAAGCAGCAGAATAAGCACCCCCCCACACACACATACAACACTAATTCTTAATATTTGGGAAGATGATGGTCCTGAGCCAGGAATTACATTCCCACCAAACTCAGCCAACATTTCAATACTCAGAATTCATGAGAGTTGTATAAAACTTCTTCAGTTTAGATACTCTATTCACATAAGTAACCTTCCGGAAGTTATTTGTAAAATCAGAATATGAGCAGTTTTGTGAATCCCTAGCCAAAGCATACTTTAAAATGTTTACCATTACTAAATATTCTGGTAGGCCGAAACATTTCTTCACAGGACTTTTTCCCTTCACAGTTCTTATAAACAGCAACCAGCCAATCTAGTTTTCGTATGCCACTCAATATTACTTCTCCTTCAGTTTAAACATTGCAAGAAGGTAATTAATAGCCTTTTCTGTGGTGAGGTTTGTCTCATTAGTTTGAAGGTTGTCTCACTGCAGTCTAAGGCCAAATGAGACATGGATTTCATCTACATGTAGTTTCTCCCTCAGTGTTCTGATTTTTAAAAGTGCTGTTGTGGGGGGTGGTAGGAAAGTTGGGAGGGTGAGGGGGGTGGCATAACCTTTCCCCCCATACTCTGCATTGCACTCTTCCAAACCATTTATGGGAAGGAGGGTGCAATAACGGTAAAACAACCAGTGTGGGCAAATGAAAAGGTTAAAATGCTCCTACACCTTTTCCGTGCTACACATTGCCGATTGTGACCTGTACAGCAGCTTTTTTAATGCAGGAAAATGGAGAAACTATGTACAGCCAATTATATTTAAATTTGATCCTTACATTGGGTTCTGTTTAAATAACTTGATGGCTTCTGAGGAGTAATAGCAACTTGTACTTTTCAGTAAGTGATTTGTCCTTTAACTACCTTTCTATAATAGGAGTATGCCTATAGCTTGTTGAAGCAGTCATTGTAGGTAGCTGTGATTGTTGCTCACCAGCTTTGCTCTGGAGTGTGAATAACATTATGATTATACTACCACTGATCCTTTTTTGTGCATACATAGTTATTTCATTTCCTGTAGTAATCATTTTGAAGTGATATTTTAATGTATATTTAAGGTACAATTGCTTTTTCTGGTCTCTGCTTATAGCATGCTTTATTCTGAATGATAGGGATTGGTACAACAAACCCATTGACCTGGTTTGCAGGATCACCATGTCTTAAGCAAACTATGGGGCCTGTTGAAGCTGCAGTACATGCTGGACACCATTTGCTTATTTACCCATGCGTGTGTAGCTTGTCATGTTTTCCAAACCCTGGAGGCATGGCTTGTTGGAAGGAGGAGCAATCTTCAAATAACCCTAAGAAGGTCCTTTCTGCTTTGGAGCTCTTCAAACAGTGTGGCTTGTTGGATTCCACTTTAGCTCTCCTGTGGTTCATAATTCTTGAAAGTGTGATCTTTTGAGGAAAAAGCAAAGAGGAGGGTGCATGCTCTGTAATAATAAGAATATGTACCTGTCAGCACTGTAGCTCCAAGACCATGAAACCTAGCCAGCTGAAACATGGCTTACTATGTTTCTAGCATTCTTCACCCAGTGACTGTTTTATTTTTAAAACAACATTTAATTTTAGTCAGTTTTCTGAAGCCTGCGGTACTGTCCTCTGTCACAAGGTGGTACACAGTGCTGACCAATGGATAAAGCTCATAGTTTAAAGCCAGGAGAAAGTAATCTGAAGGACAGGTTTCAGTGGACACCACCACCCCAGCCCTGCACAATACAGGAGGCTTAAGGGGCTGTAGGGGTAACAGCTGGTATAGTTTCACTGCAACAGGGTTGGCACAACGTCTAAAACTCCAACAGCTCTGTAACTTTGCTTCAAGGGTTACTGTCAAACTAAGGGCTATTCCAAACCATGCAAAGTCAGGTCTGTTCACTAATAAGAAATATGGTTATGTGAAAAAAGATATGTTTTTGTGGATGCTAGCTCTGTATAATGGATGGAAGTGTAGAAAAAATAACTGTTCAGAAGAGTAAAGGCATATACAGTGGAAAACTGAGCAACATTTAAAACTATATCAGTTTCTATAAGCCTATAATGAATAACAGTCTAAGAGACTGCTTTGTGCCCTCCCAACTGCAGAGGACAAGCAATAATTGTATTTTAAAGTGAAAGATTTCCCAGAGGTGTTAAAATGTGTTTGTTTCTATTGTTAAACTATGGCCAGTGAACTTGCTATGCTTTTAGTAGAACATATTTCTCTCTGCTAGTATTGCAGCTCTAAGGATATTTCTGCTAAACTGAAACATAAATGGCAATAGAACTGAAAATATTTCTTATAAAAAGGAACCCTTTTATTTTTCTGTAAACTGTTCTGGGAGCCCTATATAGCTGTTGATGGTATATAAAAGCAAAAAACAAACAAAGGTGATACTGTAAAAAGATATTGGCATGTGTTCTATCATCAAGACTCAAATATGTTCTAATTCAACATGGAAGTTTAAGTCTTGAACTATATCAGCCTTCCCCAACCCAATTCCCTCCAAATGGGTTGGACTACAACTCCCAGCATCCGTCACACAGCTGAAGGTTGTAGTTCCAATGCATCTGGGCAGCATAAGAAAGACTGAACTACATGTTTCACAGCTACTTCATGTACTGGAACTCTGGAGAAACAGCAAGGAGGGGGCTTTACTTTACTTTCCCTGCTCTTTTTTTACCTTTAAAATGTATTAGATACTGTATGACATAAAGCTTGGCTTATATGGAATTAATTTTTCATGGCATGAGATCTTGTACATCTTTACTTATGTGTATTGGAGGAAGAGTTGATTTTTTTTTTTTGCTTTGTTTGTTTTGAGTGTGCATACATCATACTACATTGTATATTAATCTGTGCTACAGAGCCAGAGCTCTGCAGCTACTTGCTAAAAATAATTCACAAATTGAGATAAATATTATGAGAATATACTATAAATGTGGCATTAATGTAGCTCACTTTTTAAACATTTCTAGGGGAAGATGGAGCAGGTAAAACTAGTTTAATCGGAAAACTTCAAGGAATTGAAGAATACAAGAAAGGAAGAGGGATGGAATATTTGTACTTAAGTGTACATGATGAAGACAGAGATGGTAAGTACCAGTTTGAAACAAAAATTAATTTTGAAAGTCTGGCTGAAAAAATGATTAAACTATGTAGGTGCTTGTGCACATTTCTGAGGCCAGTTAATTTTTTGAAGGATGGTGAACTACTGACAATTGCTTCAAAATGTCGCTTGGCTATCACTGGAGAAGCTGCTACTGTTGTACTGTTGGTGGGTGTGATTGTGAAGATCACCCTATTTTACTTCTAGTCTTTTGTTAATCTTTCCCTTCTCCTTCGTCCACATCTTTTAAAGGCTTTACTTCCTTTTCTCTACTGTTTTCTTTATAATATGATCTAGCTAGGGTAGGTGAGATACTGTAGATGCCACGTAATTCTGAAAATGTTGAATACGGCCAAATATTTTCCCAGTCAGTACAATGGCTTTTCCTGACTAGCATCAAATTTATCCCACCAGATATCTTACTGGTTTACATTACTTCCATTAAGTGAAGATAAAGAGAACATTAGAAAAATAAAGTTATTCATTCCAGCTGTTTAAAATTTCTCAGTCTATTTATTGTGAATACAGTTTCAGAGATCTTTACAAATATTATTCTGATACTGCTGTTCCATTGGCAATTTTAAACTGCCTTAATTTTAAATCTGACAAGAATATCAGACGAGTATTCAAAGATAATCATTCCAGTTAAGCTATGCTATCACAGATTTCATCCTTCAAATGTTTTTTGGTCATCTTGGTGTCATTAACCATATAGACAATACCACTAGTACAAAACCATGCATGTCTTAATGTTTCTAAATTCTAACTAGCTCAGAATTATGTTAAACCACAATAGAATTTTGAAGTACCTTTTTATACTGCTTTGAAATGCTAGTATGTTTGTGGATATAGTATTTCAGTACTTGGACTATGTTGATGCAACTAGATAAATATAGAAGACTGGTTGGAATCCAGCTAACTTCACCAACAGAAAACTTATCCTAATGGAATAGGGAGTGGCATGTTTTTTCAATTATTCCCCCTCTTTCCTGTAGCCCTTTGTGTAACTAAATCTTTAGAGGGTCCTATAACCTTCTAGAGTGGGGGGAGTGTTGGAGGAATAGAAGTAACAGAAGTAACAGAGCAATTGCCCTGGTTCCCATGCAATGACAGAAACTTTCCATTGATATTCTGTTGGTGGGAGGGGATGCTTTGATTCCATCATTTATTCTTTATCTTTCATAAAAACAGTTATGACATATTAAGTATCTAAATTCAGTGTCAGAAAGAGTTTGGGTCTAAAACTGTTATAAATCACATTAGTAGCATTTGTATAAATACTAGCAGTGATAACAGGGTATTCTGCATGTCAACTGAATCTTATTTTCTGTTTTTCTCATAGATCAGACAAGATGTAATGTATGGATATTGGATGGTGACCTCTATCATAAAGGTCTACTTAAGTTTGCAATGGAGGCCATCTCTTTAAAGGACACTTTGGTTATGTTGGTGGTAGATATGTCTAAGCCATGGACTGCTTTAGACTCTTTACAGAAATGGGCAAGTGTTGTAAGGGAGCATATTGATAAATTAAAAATTCCTCCTGAAGAAATGAAAGAAATGGAACAAAAGAGTGAGTATTTTGAAAGTGCCATGATAGTTGGGGTAGTGGGAAAGCTATTTTTTTGTTTGTATAAATGAATTGGAAATGCTGTATAGTTAAGCGGTATCATCACTTATAATGGACAAAGCAACAATAACCCATACAAATGGCTCTTTAATGACAGTATGTATGCCAGTTGATTATCTATATTTGTGTATACCCTTAAGCTTTATAAAAGATCTCTAAAGGCCTTTCATTGATTAAGTTTTCTTTATAATATAGCTAAAGTACATAGTGTACAAAGTGCTTCAGCTATATTATAAAGAAGCTTTATCTCAACCATTTGTCTTGAACTATAATTTAGTTGAGAGATAGCTATATAATTTGTCTGGAACTATTCTTAAACTTATAATAATATAGATTGTCTCGAGAACTAAGATTGCAAATGTGATAATATCAAGCGTGGCTTTATTTTCACAATTTGTCTTGAGAATTGCCTGATTTAGCACATGTGATGAGCTAGTTTGCATGATATGACAACCCACCATGGTTTATTATTATAGGTGGGTTGTTGTGTCATGAAATCAGGGACTGTTTTACTATTTTTTCAAACACGGCTTCCTGTGATGCCTATAAGCTTTTTTACCCATGGTGGCTTGTCATATTATTCTGGATAGCATGGCCCATGAGACACAACAGCCAGTGAGCCTCTTAGCAAGAGCAGCAAAAAACCTTTGTTTCACTATCCAAGTGACTGCCAGGTGATTGCAGTTGCCAGCTGCACCTGAAGTACCCAACTGGCATTTGGGAATGGTTGACAGAGTGCCCCCTCTCCCTGTTGTGATTGTTAGCAGATTTTGTCTGGTGATCACAGCTTGTTCCTTTGCACTTGTTCCTCCCTCCACTTTTTAAATTTTTTTGGAGATTGTGAAAATCAGATGACCTTGCAGCTGCAATTTTCTTAATGGGCAGGCACAAACTGCCTCTCCAAAGTAACCTTATGGAGGTTTTCTGTGTCTGCCCAGTATTTTATTTTATTTTATTTTATTTTGGTACCCATGAATGGGCACAGTAAACTTATTTGTTAAAAGTGCCCCTCTTGCACAAACAGCGTTTGCATTCTGAAGCAGAACAGGGCAAGTTCCAGTCTCAGTTGGGGCAATGTAACAGAAGGGTGCCCACTGCACCCTTTCTGCGAACCCATTTTGAGATTGAGGAAAGGTCATACTGTTCCCTGTTATCTATTTAAAGGGAAATAGAGTTGGATGGTTCAGTGCCCTTTCACTTCCAAAAGGTAGGGAGAGCAGTTTGACCTTTCCTCAATCCCAAGCTGAGAAATGGACAGAGGGAAAAAGTCTGCCTTGTGGTGTACAAAGGGAGAAAACAGAAAAACAGAAGGATCTTGCTGGGAAGAGGGTGGTGTCTGTTAAAAACAGCTCCTTCTTAACAAATATTGCTTAGGACTCTGCTTCCACTGAATGCTTTACCTTTCACAACTCAGTCATTAAAAGCAAGGCAGGAGGAAGGGATTTCTAGCCTTATCTGGGACAATACTTAGAGTTGTGCATGCTCAAGAGGTGACAGACATCCCTCTGCATATTTTCTTGGCTAAGGATGGAACTTGCCCTGGTTGCAATTCAGGAAATGAACTCTGTTTGCACAATAGTGACAGCTCAGAGGGGGGGAAATGCATCTATTTGCAGCTGCAAACAAGCTAATAAAAATAATGAGCAAACACAGGCAGTCTCTCCAAGATGCCACAGGTCACTTTGAAGGGGCAGCTAATGCCTATCTCTTCAGGCAA